ATCTATATAGATATTGCTGTCCCTGCCTTCCTTTGGGTTCCATTCACTTCTACAATTTTCTTGAAGCCCTTTACTCTGGGTCTGTGTCCATCTTTTTAAGTCAGGTATATTTCCTGGAGACAGCATAGGTTGACTCCAACCAGATACTTGGTGTCTTTTAGTGGGCTAGTTCAGTCCATTTATTTTTACAGTGATTGCTGATATGTGAAAGTCTATGGATGCTATTTTGTTCTTAACTTTTGTGGTTCAACCTATTTCCTCTTCAGTTTTCTGTGTATGTTCCACTCTTCAGTTCAGATAGAAGAACTCCTTTCAGGGCCTTCCTGCTGGCATAAGTCCTAGTACTATTAGGCTATCACTGCTATGGCCTAAGTTCGATCCCCAGGCAGGGAGATAACCCACATATGGCACAGCAGACCTCTCCTGACTTGCCCACTACTCCCCTTAGCAGTGTATTTCAGTGGATCTGCCTGTTCTGCTCCCCACTCTATCTCTGAGGAATCCTCTTACCCCTCACACCTCTGGCCTACATCCCAGTTCTTCTATGAATAAATAAATAAGATCATTTTTTTAACAAAAGAGCTCCTTTCAATATTTCTTGAAGAGGGGGTATTTAGTGTTTGCAAATCCTTGTAAAAGTTTCTCTTTGTCTAAGAAGAACTTTATTTATCCTTTATATCTGGAAAGCCTTGCAAAATAGAGAATTCTTGACTGGCAGGTTTTATCTTTTAATATTTGGAACATGTCAACACATTCTCTCCTTTCCCATCAGAGAAGTCTGATGTCCGCATGAATGATGTTTCTTTATAGGTTATCTGTTTTTTCTCCCTTGCCAGCTCCAATATTCTTTCTTTCTCTTAAGTTCTTGGAAGTTTCATTATTATATGTCTTGGTATAACTCTCATTTTGTTTAGGTATCCTGGGGCTCTTTTAGTTTCCTGGATTTGTAGATTTAGTCCCTTCTCCACATCAGGAAGTGTTCCTTTATTATTTCTTTGAATTTGTTTTCTGTTCCCTTCTATCTCTCTGTCCTCCCTGTTATTCTTATATGGCCTTTCCCCATTGAATCACAAAATTTTCAGTGTTTCTTCATTTTATTTTTGCTTTGTTTCTTTCTTTCCATTTCTACCTCGATTCTTTGTTCATTCACAACTTCAAGTTCACTACTTCATTCTTCCATTTGGTCTAATCTACTTCCACAGCTTTCACCTGAATTTTTTGTTTCCTCTAGCTCTCTTTTTACATTCTTGTAGGGTAAATGGTTTTTCAGGCTTTTCTGCCCTCCCACCATTAGGATTGCCCTGCCTGATGGAGTAACTGCAGTTGTTACATTGTTACAAACTATCTTGTTTACTTCTGTGGGCCCTGGGAGGAGTATTGAGGGAGTCACCAAGAGAAGGAGAAGGGGAGGGGAGGCAAGAGAGAGAAAGGGGAGAAAGAAGGCCAGAGAAGCCCAGAGTGAAGATTTGCCGGGGGCCTGGAGGCCTCCTGGCCTCCTGGCCACCTGGCACCCCTGCCTGCTGTGTATCTGTTTGCCACACTACATGTAAAGCTCAATAAAAGCCTGAGAAAACCACAGCGGGCTCCCGGACTCTCCTTTACCCATCTGCTGGATCATAGAAACCTGCTCAGTGGCCTATCCTGCCACTACAATCCTGACTCTACATATTTTTCTTATTTAGAGCTTCAATTTTGATCTTCTGTTCACTGATTTTATTTCTCATGACATGCTTTTCTTTTTTAATTTTCTTTGTGTACTTCCATTGCTTTAAGTTTGCTTATCATGGCAATTTTGAATTCCATATCTGATAGGATGAATAGCTCTTCCATGTCTTTGTGGTTTAGTTCTGGAGATTTGTTCTCTCTTATTCCCCTGATGAAGTATATGGTTGTTTGTTCTTTTTTCACTTCTACACATCATTTGTTTTTGTTTCCACACTTCTGTTGATGGGTATTCTGCTGAGTGTAGTCCCTACTTCCACACTTGGTGGGGTGTGATCACCTGGTGGCAAATGTAGTTATAGCAGTGGGCAGCAGCAGGATGGTGGCAACCATGAACTGAGTTTTACACTAAATTTTATAACTAATAATTTACCAAATTTATCTATACTTAGTATAGTCAAGTATAAAGGAAACAGTATGAGAACTGCTTGACAATTTATTGAAAAATAAATAACACAAAGGAAAAAAATTACATGATTTGGTAAACAAAATTTTGGAGGTATATAATTTGGAGATAAACCACTCAGTAGCTTTCATAATGCAACATAGTGTTACAACACATTAAATAAAATTTGTGTAATTTTGACCCAAAACAAATAAAGAATAAATGGTGATGTTCAAAATTTTATTCAAAATGGAAAACAAAGTTAATGTATACTATGAATATTTCTTTTTTTAATTGGTCAGGTAAATATCAACTGTGTACTTTGGATTCTCAAAGAGAAGCTTTCAATTATAAGAAAAATTCACACAAATAAAATGCATTATTCCATGATGATGGTGATGTTTTTCTGTGTGCTATGTTTCTAAAGAATAAAACATTTTTTAAAAAGTAGTATGGAAATATAACTCAATTTATAAAAGGCTTTACTTTTCTTTACAAAGCCTCTGCATACACGTTCAGGCAAGCCAGTTCATTGGTTTGTCATTGTTTGGATTTCATCACCAGGTTTTATCCTTTTATGCTAATACATTACCAGCCATTTTTATATATTTTTACATCATTTTTCATTTTTGCACCAGCCATTTTTAAAAGATACTTGAGACCATGACTAATTGATGTGTGATTTGAAGTGGCCAATGTAACTCCCAATTCCACTCATTACTAGGAAAAGATAACTGCTCATGAGCCTTACTTAAAATGGTCACATGACTTGTGCCCAGGGAGTAACTGATTTGTCATAAGAAGAGAAGGTAGATGTTGAGCAAGGACACTTCTCAAAAATCCAGCCCTTAATATGCTACCTAGATGCATCCTGGAGCACTTGAATTTCATGGAAAGATAACAACCCTAAAACAAGACTTTCAGAAGGAACCAGGGGCCCTGCAAGACTTCTACAAGTTGGTCTTCTCCACTATCATACCTTATCACTTGCCTACATGTGTCCGTGATAAAATTTCCAAGAAAACATTGGAGAGGAAAACCCTAGGGACTGAGTAAGTGTGCAGGAGAAAGGGCTGAGGGATTGTGGCTTTTCCTCTGTGAGAATTCAACAAAAGACCCAGTGTTGATAAAATATGAGCAGGTCACACAAAACAGATACAAAAAACAAAGTCCAAAACCTTTGTGGTCAAGAGAAATGTTTGCAACTTTTCACAAGGGCAGTGGTATTATTCCAAATTTCCTTGTCAAATATTCACTACAGGAATGAAGGCCTGAGTACACATGGCTGTCTCATATCAGTGCATCATCTATTTTCTTTTCAGTTTTAAATTTTGCAGTACTGTCAAAAAAATTCTTCCACATTCAAAATGGTTATGGTACAGAGGAGAGTTGTAATGTGTTCTGCAAGTGGGTGTATTTGTTTCAATTCAGTGTGTGCAGAAAAGTCAAGCCTCTACAGCCATTCACAACTTTGCTATGAGTATGAAGACAGTTGAGTTTTTAGATTAAGTCTCAGAATGGTAACACACATTTATAAAAATTATTTTCTTAACTATTTTGAGGCATTTTTAAAATAATATACATGTGTCTGCTCAACATAGTTGGATAGAAAAATAAAAGCCTCTCACAGGCAGACGTCAGACTCTATGAGTTTTCCAGGAGTGGGATTTGGGCCCCACCAAGATTGAAAATAGGAAATTACTTTGAGCCTCTGGAGCTCAGCAAAGTGATATATCAGATATACTGTGAAGAGAATTTCAACTTTTGTTTTTTTTTTTCTCCTGATGTTGGTCTGCTGTGGTTACTTATGTGGTATGATTTCTGAGGTATCAGAAAAATTTCCCCCATCCTTTCTACCCTAGCACACTAAAATATCTCTTGGGTTGGCCAACAAGAGCCCAGATTCCCCACATTGCAGAAGGAAGGGAGGGAGGGAGGGAGGGAGGAAGGAAGGAGAGGGGAAGGAAAGGGAGGGAGGAAGGAAGAAAGGGGAGGGGGGGGAAAAGGAAGGAGGAAGGAGAGGGGAGGGGAAAGGAGGGAGGAAAGAAGGAGGAAAGGACAGGGGAGGGGAAGGAAAGGGAGGGAGGGAGGAAGGAAGGGAGGGAGGAAAGGAAGGGGAGGGGAGGGGAGGGGAGGGGGAAGGGAGGGGAGGGGAAGGGAAAGGAAGAAGGAAGAGAAAGGAAGGAAGGAAAGAAGGAAGGAAGGAAGGAAGGAAGGAAGGAGGAAGGAAGGAAGAGGAAGGAAGGGAAGGAAGGAAGGAGGAAGGAAGGGGAGGGGAGGAGAAGGAAAGGGAGGAAGGAAGGGAGGGAGCGAGTGAGAGAGAGGAGGGGAGAGAGAGAGAGAGAGAGAAAGACCACTTTGATTTAATTATTGAATGCAGCCGTTGAAATCCAAATGTTATACTGGGCTATTAGGCAGACATTAGAAATAAAAGCCTATATAAAACATATAAAGAATATGGAGAAATTGTTTCTGATCTAATGCTATGTTTCATAAGAAGAATGCAAAATGACAAACGTAGTTTGAGTCAGATACTGCTCTTAAAATGTCGTGGGCTGTGTCAGCATATATGACCCAGTTATGAATATAAGACTTTTGTAAAAGAAACCCAGCTGTTGAGGAGGTTTTATTCTTATTTGTTTTGAATGAGTACTTTCCACATTTTCTTATCCTCAGATCTCAATCTCTTCACAGTATATCTGACACATGGATTTGCTGAGCTCCAGAGGCTCACAGTAATTTCCTATTTTCAATCTTGTTGGGACCCAAATCCCACCACTGGAAAACTCATAGTCTGACATCTGCCTGTGAGAGGCTTTTAGAAATACCTCACAAATGCCAACTCAACCTCTCCTGGCAGCAATCTGCCAAACCAAGCCCATCTCCTCAAATGATGGCAGCTACCTATGTTTCTCTGATGTTGAAGAATGAGATTCTTCAGGCCCAAGTGCAGTGGCTGATGGAAGAATATGGTGTCCTACAAACCCAGATCCCAGAACTCCAGAGCACTAAGCAGCCAAGGAGGATGAATTATTACAGAAGCTCACAGAGTCCAGGAACAACCATCCTGGGGATCCCTGACAGCCCAAGAGACCCCAACTGCCCCAGGAACCCCAGGCACCCCCAAATGGTACATGAGCTCTCAGCATCCTGGGAGTCCCAAAAGAATGCAGAGGCTGAAGATCACCAGAAGTTCCCTCAGTAACCCAGGAAACCCAGAAACCCAAGAATTTAGTGTCCTATGATCCTCCAAATGCCCAGGATTCCCAAGAGGCACCAAAATTCCAGGATTCCTTGACATACCTGGAGCTCCTGAGCTTTCAGCACCCCAGGAGACATTGGATCCTTCAGGTGCCCAAGACGTCCTACAGTTTTCTGTACCCCAGGAGTCCCAGGAGGGCTTAATAGCTGCTGAGACTTCAGTAGTTTCAGAGTTCCCACAGTTGCTCAGGAGGCTAGAGGCTAAAGTTTTCCTCCTAGAATACTCTTTAGACTTCATTGAGGATGCTCAGAAGCTTCCTGAGTTCCTGGTTAAATTGAACAGTTAATGAGAGTCAGGGGGCACCTGTATTCCACAGTACCTGCCCTGGTAAGTTTTGTTGGCAACCACTACTAGGGTGAGGCAGGACAGTGCTTTCAATCTTTAGTACATCCAAATCCCCCTCCTGAAGTAATTTGAAAGTTGCATACAAGTGCTTCAGGATACTTTTGACAATACGGAAAACATGGAAGATGCCAGCCATCACATTTGTCAGCCCTACCAAGGGAAAGACTTCATCTACCATTATGTGCCCCACTTCTACCTCACTGCTCAAAAGAAGATAAACTTGTATGAAAACATTCTCCTCCAATTTCAGGAAGTGCCTGACAGTGCTATTCAACATGAACTGTCTTGCGCAAAGCCAACCCACCAACCTAGGTGATATAATCAGCCCTCATGTCAGCCTAGAAGAAACTAAGTGTGAGTCTCATGCAAATCCACAAGGGGCAAGTTCCACTGAGAAGAGAGCTGGGTATGAGTTTCTATCATCTAAAAGCCAGTTTATATATGCTGCAAGCAATCAGCCATACCTCTGTGATATTGAAGAACACTTGTGCCTGTAGTATAGTTATCCCGGTCATTTTGTCAGAGATTGCCCTGTCTTACCTCATCATTTGCAACAAGTAGGGAACATCAAGGTCCAAAGGTAAGGGGGACTCCAGGGGTGCCAATCTACAAATATGTGTCCCTCTTGCTTCCAATATCAATGTCCCATATCCTATGACTTACTGTTGAAATCTGACTGGGAAGAAGATAGTCCTTTGAGCAAATAATGGTGGATTCAGGCTTCTATAGAAACAGCATTGACCATTCCATGGTGTAGCAGGAGGAGGGGCACAGTGCTGGTTCATCTATGATCCGAGCAGACTGGGTAAAGGAGAGAGTCCTGAAGCCCTCGGTGGCTTTCTCAGGCATTCACTGAGCTTTTACATGTAGTGCAGCAAACAGGTACATGGCAGACAGGGGTGCCGGAGGGGCCAGGAGGCTGGCAGGCCTCCAAGCCCCCAGCAAGTCTTCACTCTGGGCTTCTCTGGCATTCTTTTTCCCTGCCTCTCTCCTGCCTCTCTCCTGCCTCTCTCCTGCCTCTCTCCTGCCTCTCTCCTGCCTCTCTCCTGCCTCTCTCCTGCCTCTCTGCTTTTCTTGGTGAATTTCTCAATACTGCTGCCATGGCCCGCAGAAGTAAACAACACAACTATAACAGTGTAACAAAATGCAGGTGCCCCATCAGGCAGGGCAATCCTAATGGCAGGAGGGCAGAAAAGCCTGAGAATCGTTTATCCTACACATATTTTGAGAGAAGCTACGCATCCACTATAGATGGCTATCCACTGATTAATGGACTTACAACCAAGGAAACACCATCTGTTAAAGTTAAAATTGGAAACCATGTTGCAGAGCTCAGTTTGACTTTATTCATGTACCACAATGCCATCTAATTCTTGGAACCCATTGGCTTGAAACACATGAATCTAACATGGAATGGGGTACCTTCTCTGTGTCCTTTACATCCCATTATTGTCACTACAGTGCTTCAGATATAGGTGAAATAGAAGACATTTTGATTTATTAATTTCTGGGCAACTCCAGTGTCATAATGACTGCTCCAGGCAATCAGTTTTGTTACCTCAGCTATCATCAACATTTGCTTCTCCCAGAATCTTCCACTGAATCTCTGGTAATGAACGAAGGCTGCCTATACACAGACCCTGACTCTCGGATCATGGACTGAACCTGGCAACTTTAAGCTGCTTTTTTCACCCGCCTAGGTGAAATCACTTGCCAGGGTTCACACTGCTAGGGATTCGTGGATGGTAAAAATAAACCCTGAGCTGTCTTACTCCAAAGCTGGAGTTATATCCTACACACCACACTAGTTCTCGGGTTGAATGACCTTTATTCCTTATTAACCACTTTAAGAAAAATTCACGACATGTGCTCTATTGCTCTAGAAAAAGATATCAGTTTGTTAATGCATTCATTTTTTCATTAAACAGGCATTTACTGAATGCTTTCAATATTTAGGCACAGGAATAGTAGAAGAGGGAGAAAAAAGGGAAAGGAATAAAGGTAGAAAGATGTTTAAAAGTATCACTCGTGATTCTTTCCTTGCCTACAACTTAATGGAGGAAGTTGTTATGTAACACAACACTGTAAGACACTGAGGACCAGAACACTAATTCTGCTATGGACTGAAGTGTGCTTTGCGCTGGATCTTGAAGGAATCTCATTGGAAATAAGGAGAGCAGGGTTTCCTGGACTGAATAAAATGCACACACCAAAAAAAAAAAAAAAAGAAAAAACAGGAGGGGAAAAACGTGTCTTTTTAGAAAGAAAGTTCTATTTCACTGGATAGGAGGGATATATGCATGAATGTGTAGAATATATTAAATAAATGTCATTTCTTTTACTGAGGTACTATTAGCTTACAAAACTATATATCACCTCTCCTCAGATGTATACATCACACCCACCATCAAAGTACCCATAGTTCTTCACCATAGACCATCAGGACCCCTTTGCACTTTGGTACAAAGAGAATCTTAAAAAGAAAATTGAAAGTCTCAGATTAAGGTGCTTTCTATTTGGCTAAGACATTCAAACTATCTTGTGAGCAATTTGTTTTTGGTGTTTTTTAAGATTTTTTTTATATTCCCCACACAATTGCAGCCCCCTTATTTTGACCCCAATCCCTCCTCTCCCCACCCCCCCAAAGTGTGTCTCTGGTTTACAGTAGCTTGTTGATTTTGATTTTTTTTCTTTATTATAGTTATTCTTTTTCCTGGTCCCTTATTTAGGTTTCTAGATTCCTGCTATGAGTGAGACCATCTGGTATTTTTCTTTTTCTTTCTGGCTTATTTCACTGAGCATGATCCCTT